CCCAGTATGAGTTCGCTGATGATCATCGAGGTCCTTTTTCCTGATAAATGTTTTCCCACATTCACTACATACATAGGGTTTCTCTCCAGTATGAGATCGTTGATGATCAGTAAGAGGAGTGTTCTTGATAAAGGCTTTTCCATATTCACAACATACATGGGGTTTCTCTTCTGTATGAATTCGCTGACCATCAGCGAGGTCCTTCTTCTGGATAAAAACTTTTTCACATTCAGCACATACATAAGGTCTCTCTCCAGTATGAGTTCACTGATGATCAGTGAGGTTCTTCTTCTCGATAAAGGCTTTTCCACATTCACCACATACGTGAGGTTTCTCCCCAGTATGAGTTCGCTGATGATCACTGAGATCCTTCTCCCTGATAAGAGTTTTCCCACATTGACCATATACATATAGATTCTCTCCAGTATGAGATCGCTGATGATCAGTGAGAGCAGTGTTCTTGATAAAGACTCTTCCACATTCACCACATACATGGGATTTCTCTCCAGTATGAGTTCGCTGGAGGATCAGCGAGGTCCTTCTTCTGGATAAAAGCTTTTTCACATTTAGCACATACATAAGGTTTCAATCCAGTATGAGTTCACATATGAACAGTGAGCTCATACTTCCAGATAAAGAATGTTGTACATTCACCACATACATGGGGTTTATGTCCGCTGTAAAATCTGCGATGAACTATAAGGCATTGCTTCTTGGTGAAAGCATTACCACATTCACCGCATAGATGGGATTTCTTTCCAGTAGGAGTTCGCTGATGATCAGTGAGAGCACTCTTCTTGATAAAGGCTTTTCCACATTGACCACATACATGGGCTTTCTCTCCAGTGTGAGTTCGCTGATGATCAGTGAGGTTCTTCTTCTTGATAAAGGTTTTTCCACATTGTACACATACATGGGCTTTCTCTCCAGTATGAGTTCGCTGATGATCAGTGAGGTTCTTCTTCTTGATAAAGGCTTTTCCACATTCACCACATACATGAGGTTTCTCCCCAGTATGTGTTCGCATATGAACAGTGAGCTCATGCTTCCTGATAAAAATTTTGCCACATTCACCATACTCATAGGGTTTCTGTCCAGTAGGAGATCGCTGATGATCAGTGAGAGCAGTGTTCTTGATAAAGGCTTTTCCACATTCACCACATGCAAGGGGTTTATCTCGGGTGTAAAATCTCTAATGCACTATACGGCATTGCTTCTGGGTGGGTGAAATCTTTACGATACTAACCGCATACATGGGATTTCTCCCCAGTATGAGATCGCTGATGATCAGTGAGAGCAGTGTACTTGATAAAGGCTTTTCCACATTCACCACATACATGAGGTTTCTCTCCAGTATGAGTTCGCATATAAACAGTGAGCTCATACTTCCAGATAAAGGATGTTGCACATTCACCACATACATGGGGTTTATCTCTAGTGCAAAATCTCTGATGAACTATAAGGCATTTCTTCTGGGTTAAAGCTTTACCACACTCACCACATAAATGAGATTTCTCTCCAGTATGAGTTTGCTGATGAACAGTAAGAGCAGTCTTCTTGATAAAGGCTTTTCCACATTCACCACGTACATGAGGTTTCTCTCAAGTATGAGTTCGCATATGAATAGT